TTTATAGGCTACTCTCGTTTAATACTGACGATGTTCAACTTGTCACGAGCTAATGACATCTGACATCTATTTTCAGAGTAGCGAAACAGAATTCCGACTAGCACGAGACAGCGTTTAACTATGGTAGTCACAAACTCCTAGGAACGCTTTGTGAAACAGTATCAGTTCAGTATTGAGGGTAAGGGTATCTCTGTTTATTTCAATCATGAAAGAAGAATGTAAATACTTTTAGTATCCTTTGATTAGTTCCATAGTAAAAAAAAGCTATGGTGGTGAAAGGATCCACGGTATTATTGTAACATAATGGAGATGGAATACACTGGATAAACGAGAATATCTGACAAGTAGTGTTCATGTTTCATGTTCATTTTTTTCACAATTGTAATAATTATGCAGTTTTCTACTTGTAGGCATCAAACACGTAACCTGAAGTTCAAACCAAGTTGTATTATTCTACAGTGATCCATACGACCTTCAGTTCTATTCAAGGGCCACGATGAACGTCTGCAAACGTAGAGTCAATGACAAGCAAAGACGCCCATGGTGTAAGAGAATGGAGGACAGTGCCCATCTGTTTAGGGTTCCATTAAGCTTCTCGTCAGTTCCCTGTGGTTTGGTAGCCTATATATTGGTTCAATTTAAAATATTTGGCTAAAATTAAAAACTATCGCCAGCGACTAAAAGATTGATGTAAACCCTGATGGTGTGTCATGCAGAGTCCTTTGTAAGGTGATCTACCGTTAGTTGCGGGCGATCTATAGTCCGTTCGTATATTGTACTGTCTGCAAATAGTTCTACATTTTAATACTCTAATACTAGTTTTAAGGACTATCAACGATAATCTAGTTATATTATTGTCAATTGTCGACAGTTTTTAATATATTATTTTTAATGTATAACATTTCCTAGTGACGATAATGCCGATGTGACTATAAGTTTTAACTCACTCATTTACTATATACATAGGTTTTAAAATATACGGAAACGCAACACTCTTTTCTAGTTGTTCGATTCAGGGTCATCATTGATGTAGCAGAAATGCACTCGCAGTCTTTACAGTGTACATACATTTCACTTTCATTATCCATATATTATGCATACGATGCACCTAAATCAAAGTATCACCGATTCCATCAGGCAAGAATCAAACATCTATATATAATCTTTTTTTCAGAATTGTGACACATTATCTTGGGGCCACAATGATGAGAAACACTTAATTACATTTTTAATCTAAAGTACTGTCGGAAATGCTAGAAAACTGCTTTTTGCCTGTTAAAAAGGGTATAATTTTTCACAGACTGTTGTTTCTGAAATATCGAGTAACTACCGACCGACAACCTTGTTTGAAGTTTTTCAGACACAATGAGTCATATCGACAAGTTTACAGGGGACAAATTCGAACGAAAACAGGAAGTCCAATGATGACAGTCTGAAACGGACTATATACAATTGCGCACGTGACTCTGTTTTATTGATGATAATGTAGTCTTCATAAAACATCTAATCTACACACAAAAATCATTTTAAGAAAATTCTAGATGTGCATCTTCTAAAATCACAAAATGACTCTGCGTTTGTTTTGTTAACATTGCTCCAATGATGCATGTTACATTACACTTGCATAGCCATAACCACGGTGCACGATATGGACTCTGTATCGGGTTCTTTTCACTTTTGAGAGATAGGGGGAAATCATTTTTCAATTTAGATAGGGTGAATTACCCAACTGTCCAAGCTATATGGTTTTCAATTCATACCATCAAGTCTACGGTATGATAAATAAAACAAAAGATGTATAGGGGTGGTCTCAAAAACAAAACTGGGACGTAAAAGGATATTAGACAGCTTTGATACAGGGTGATTAGGCGTATAGTATACAAGCCTTAAGAGTAGAAGGTAACCCTGAATTTGGGAAGAATAGATACAATTAATGTTAACTGCACTAACTATTGCCCCCCAAAATATGGGATTTCGATACACTGCGCGTGGCGCTGACCGAGCACTTCAGAGGAAAATATTCCATCCTGTCTATGAGGTCACATTATCTCCGAACTATTCATAACTATCACAGTCAGGGCGTCCAGATAATTTACCTTGATGAATAATTCCAATGAATACATGTGGCTATCGGCAGATGGACAAAAAGCACCCATAGACCGACCATCAGGTAAAGGTAATCGTGTCATTACTTTGCACGCTGATATGGGGCTTATTGATGGATGTGTGCTAGTTTTCGAGGCGAAAAAGAAAACTGGTGAATTTCATAAGGAAATTATAGTAGGTGATGTGTTCATAGACTGGTTGGAACTTCAACTATTGCCCATAACAACGTCAGTGTCATTGTCACAGAAAACGCCAGCTAATGTAACGTCCGGGAATTAGATACTGTCGCCCTAACCATGAATAGTCCGAAGGAGACCATACATAAATATATGACATTGTCGACTTCAGACCTTATGAAACGAAAATTCACCTCATGGAGAAAATTCGGCTGAATAAGAACCCTATAAAGTAGAGGACATTTGTGCTGGCGGCACAACACGGTGACGTTGTCTTACGTACGCCAATCAGACATTGTATGCTCAACCCTGTTGTGCCCATCTTGGCTAAGTGTAAAGAGTTTGTGGCAAGACACAACACCACATTCAAAAGTATAGATCAGCGGAGATGAATGCTACCTCAAGAAATAATCTGAAGAACAACAAATACTTCTGGATTCCAAACGTCCATCACGTTTCCAAGCAAATATAATGCAGTACACAGCCTTAATTGCTACCCCATCAACGCACATGTCAATTAAGTACAATAACAGCAATATTTTTAGACCAACTCGGTGACATTTGCAACTGTTAGAATGCACGGGATGGTGTGAGGTCATCATCTCGGGACAGGTGTTAGGGAATAACCTCAGGTTATAGGCCATTTCATACATGCATGACAACACACGAATATTTTCTAAGCTGATCATCATTTTACCTATAAAAGTACATTTAAGGGGTTATCACAGTGTCAGTTATGACAGGCCAGATTAGGGCAATTTGCGTTATTTTGATATATGCTCTTTTTATAGTCCTATGACTCGTATTTATTAGATAAAGCCACAAAAAACATTTTTCTAGCATTTCCGGCAGTACTTTAGTGTAGACAAATGGGATTGTTGGTACACGTTTTGACACAAAGCGATTTTATGAGCGCATCTGGTGTGGTACACAGAAGGGGAAACCAGAGACTCCAATTTTACGAATAATTTACTTTAGGAGTATTTTCAACATTTGAGAAATTATATCCAATAAAGAGTACCCTAGAAACGTATGCTCAACGTTATTTTTCTCTTCTATTTCATGAATATATAATTATTTAAAAATCGGAATTCACAAGGCATATGTCAAAGTTAAGAATACATTCGAGGCAGTAAAAATCGTACGAAACCACATATCAGTTGTCCAGGCTTCCACTACCTGAACGCTTGGCGGTTAAAATAACCCTTTCTGTCGTCTTCATTATTTCTGCCTCTACGATATTTCAGGTCCAAGACTGAATAGGCGATAATGTGGATATACAGCTACTTACATGTATATTTCGTTTCGGACAGATCGTAGGTGAGGGAAAACTCCTCAAATGTTGCATTGGATCACCACTTTGAAAGGTAAAACGTCCAATTCTGTGCATTGCGAACTAGCCAAAGACAATAATCGGTGAGGACATATTTTATGAACAAAAGTCCGTTGTCATGTGCTACACAATGCCAGCAAACAACATGTGATCAATAATCACTCAGATCACCTGTCAATATAAGAGTATCTGACCAAAACTAAAACTGTAAAAGATCACGAAAACAAATTCATTGTCACCCAAAACAGACTCTCAGTAGCGCGTATGTGATCCACGTGATGCGATCACAGCATGGCACCATCTTCTCATGATTCCAGCAAGTGTTACCAAGGGACAATTGTCCCACACTTCAGTAACACATTGTCGAGTTACTGTAGAGTTCCTCGTGAGAGGGCGATCTGTACATGTGTTCGATAGGGTTGAGGTTTGGCCACTCCATGCAGATAATGGTCTTCTGTTCTAAGTAGGCATGAATGACCCTGGCCATAATAATGAAATCCGGTCCAAATCCCAAGTATACTGTCTGAAGTACACACCCATAATGTCATCCCTGAAATGCACAATGTCATCCTGTCCACTGTAGGACATGAAGATCAAATCATGATTGAGCCCCCTCCATAGCGGTCATCTTTGGCCTTGTTGAAATCCTGAAATATTTCTCTTTGCGTACCCCACCCTCGGCCACGAGGATCTATGTAGTCTAGACAGTATCTCGATGCATCAGTGAAAAGCCCAGGGTGCCGTTGCACAAAACAACCTCAGCGCTGAGACTGCCGTACGTCTATGTTAAGGTGTGGGTGTTACGATTACCTTAAAGTTAAGATCGCTTTGTACAACGGCACCCTGGTCTGTCCAAGGATTATCTAACGCACTGCCGCAGGTCATTTTTGAGTGTGGTGGCAGTCACGAAGTAATGACGTCTTGCTGCAATCCTCCCGCGGGTTGGTTGACCACCTGCATGTCGCTGGGTAGCTGTTCCAATGCACCGATTCCATGCCCAGCGAATCATACTTTGCTGACACAAAAAACGTTTGCAACGTGACGTTGTGTTGAACCATTTTCAAGTATGCCTTTGCATCTTCCCAATTATTCGGTCGTCAAACGACGTCTTTGACGCCGAGCGTGCACCAGTGCATTCAGTTGTTGCAATTCTCATCAGCAGACGTTGTTGTGCTCTCTGATAATAACATACAATGATTCTGATCTCGGCACCAAATCTGTAACAGGTGCGCTTTAATAGGCGCCCAGTGACGGCGAAACAAAATAGATGTGTGGCCAAGGTCACATGTTTACTGCAGTGCATTGCCGTATTCCTTGCCGACATCTTCTGTTAGCCTCCTGGTCGGGTTATCATTTCTAATTATAGACACAAAACAAAAAACGAATGAAGTTTAATTTAAAGTTTATTATTAAACAGAAATAAGGGGCAACCATTCATGAAATTATTAAAAACACCATACCTACGTAATAGCATTCAAACCATCTCTTTAAGTATATATTATACCCACCCCTCTAACTTAACTCCAATAATGAAATGTCCCTAAACAAACCTATTCAATTCCTACTCTATTTTCCCACCCATAACTATCCGTCTAACATTACATTTATTCGGGCAAGACAATAGAAAAAATGATAATAATGGCCGACACGAGGACCATGTGACTAGGAAAATGGACACGACCAATGACCATGCTCCTGTCATCTCAGTCCTCTCGAACATCACTGGCACCTAGCCGAACATGCAAGGAACATGCAAGGAACATGCCGCCATCTTTGACAAAAGATATCTGACCGTCTATTTGGAAAAGGTTAATTTGGCAAATCAACCCTGATACAGGTTACCTTTACAGCTTCCAACATTCTCCATGCTTCGCGTCCCAAGCTGCGCACACTATAAGGTAAGTTCTGGCCTCAAGATTCATGTCTCATATGAGGGCTTCCATGAATTATTATCTCGTTATAATATAGCTTCATATACATTTCAAAATACCCAAACCTGCCCGATTCCGAGCTCTGGCAAATTGTAAATACAAACCCCTTTGTGTGGGAAGAAAGATAACATTTTTATTCCAGATAAACCATCAGCAAAGTGAAAGGTACGTGTGGTCCAGTCATCAAAGGCGCCACACTTCACTACGCTATGGAGAATTGTGTCACATATGCGTTCTATGATTGTATGCTCGTGGGTTCGAATCCGATGTTTACCCCGGTAATGATATTTGGTAAGCCAGCGCCATACCCCTGTTCTTTGACTTCATTAAAACGTCAAACGAGATTAACCCCTACTTTAACAAACTCACTTGGGCATAATTAAAACACTGTTAAAACCTGTGTAAACATAACTCATTCTGAAGAGTAAACTTGCTGCAAATAGTTAAAATGGAGTTGTATTCATCTAAGATGTAATCACAAGAGGTAGAAATCACATGATGTGTTTTAGTTCGTTGAATGGTAATGAGATGGAAACATTAGTCTGTCTTACAGACCCTGATACATTTATATCAACTACAGCCCATGCAAGTCTATAATGTTTGGCAAGTCTAGATTACTGCAGTATCTGAAAATGAAGAGAATCACTGGGCTCCCTTTTTATCAGATTTTTATTAAGATAACTGAACAACTGTTTTTTTTCTGTACGATATGTTCATTTCAGAGACTATATGTTAGTCTAATGGAAACATGAACAGCTGCGGACATCAGGTAAAGTTATTTGTGGATCCGAGGTCCGCACCTTTGTTTGTTATTCCTGTCACTTTGATATCACCAGCCTTCCTAAGACTTTGTCGTGACACAAGCTGTTTCTTTAACAGGAAAGGAAGAATGGTCAGGATGCTACAGATGAAGAAGGCTCCAGTGGTATAAAAGATCAAATCTTTCTGTGCCATCACATCTGCAAGATAACCTGAGAGAGGAAAGCAATGTTATTACGATTTGACAATGTAACGGGAGAGACATGCAATATCGGGCGATTACGATGAAATATAACGGCAGTTGCAGTAGAAAATATATATAAAAGTCTGTAAAATGGGGTAGGGTTAGTTACTACATACCGTGACGAGAATATTGAAATGCAATTATAAAAAGCATCCTTTATCACAAAGACTCAGGGTCTGATCAATATACAGCCATAATACCCAGTTGACATGTGCAGGTCGCAGTTCTTGTTTGTGGTCAAACTTGACAGATATAGAGACTTACTGGGGTAACTCACCTGAACACCCAATCTAATCTAAACAATAATACGTTAATTCATGTTTCTGAAAAAGTTAAGAAACCAACTGGGTCAATTAAAATTACTGTGTCTTTTTAAGTTACAATCAAAATTAAACGTATTTTGTTTCAACTACACATGTCTCACTATCTCTAGGCAACGTTGCCTATAACTGATAGTTTTAGAAAATATGTCAACAATATCAAACTCGTGCTCGACCGTCAATTTTGATATTAAGGAAGAGCGTGCATTTCGTGTGCGGGAATCTGAACTTATCACTAAGTGTTGAACTGTGAGGCACAGTGTTGAACAGTTGCACGTGTTGATATATACCATAGTTTTCCCGCCACGCATTTGATACTTGATGGCGTGGATTAATGATTCATAATGGATTAATAGGGTATACATTGGAACAAATACTTTGTAAGTACGAAGAAGGATTCTTTTCTTAACTTGACTATGAAATAAAATGACGACCTATTTATGCTTCTTTTTACATTCATGCCCTATTGTGGTAATATTATGGTCATAAAATATTATTCTACAGATATGTTTAATAATATTCTGTTTGGTGGTTAAGTTCACCCTGCATTCCAAGTAATGACGAAAGCTACAGTGTTGTTTTAGTCTATGCTTTCTTTTTATCACTTCATTTGTACAATCCCTTTGTCTCTTGATTGAGCAGTTTTATTTAAAAAATACTTGGGAGAGATTTATTAACCTACTCCAGTTTTCGAAACAAGGTGGACAATATAAAAAGACCAATTACGTCAAACTACATAAAACATCAGAAAATGACAGACAAAATTAAGATTTTTCTTCTAACTGTCAAGGGTTAAACAATGAAAAGAAAAGAAGATATGTTCTTGTAAACATACACACTAATAAGGAAAATGTTTATTGCGTTCAAGATACGCATTTTACGAAACATGAAGAACAGGAAATGAAACTAATATGGACATCGGAATTTCGCTTTAGTTCACTCTCAAGTCAGTCAAGAGGTGTAGCCATTTTATTTAAAGATAGATTCGCGGACCAGATATTAAAGAATTTAGAGATAGAGAAAATGGAACTTATCTGATACCAAAGATTAAGACGGCTAACGAAGTTCTCACCATAGATAACATTTATGGTCCTAATGCGAATACACCTAAATTCTATCTGAACATTAAGGGTCTAATATATTATCTAGATTCTGAAACAATATATTTTGCGGAGCCTATAACTTTGTGCTGGATCAAGAAATGGATACTTACAATTACATACATTTAAATAACCCTAAATCTAGAAAATCGGTTCTTGAAATGTCAGAAGAACTAAATCTTTATGATCCTCGGGGGGATTTACTTGGCGAAAACCCAAGCCATTAAAACAGGCCAGACTAAACTTATTCCTGGACAAATCAGTTGTTTCAAATGACAAAACAGGTTATAGATCAGATCATTCAATGATATCAATAAAAAAAGAATTCACAAAACTAGAAATGGGGAAAGGCTTTTTGGAAATTCATGAATAGTCTGCTATACGATCCAGAGTATGTAATATGTGTCACCAATATTATTAAAGAAACAGTTGAACAATACTACAAATTAGAAAGTAATTGTGAAAAAGTATTTAGGAACAACTCTTTTATAAAGTTTTGCACAATGCAATATAAGAGAATGCACGATAAAATACCAATCAATCAAGAAACGTGATAAAACTTATGAAGAAAAATAAAATAATGGAAAGCTTTAACATTTAGAAGTTGAATTAGATACGGAAGATGACGACAAAAGAAAACTCCACACTCCTATATCCCTCCTGAACATTTCGTATAAGATAGTATCAGCAGTTATAGCAACTCGAATTAAAAAAGAACTTCCGACTATCATTAGTGACGATGAAGAAGGTTTTATGAAAGAAAGATACATCGGTGAACGCACCAGATTTATATACAACATTATGGATTTAACAGAATACAAGAATATACCAGGCTTACTTATCTTGATTAAAATCGAAAAAGCCTTTGATTCAGTTGAATGGAAATCAGTCGAATTTGCTTTGATTTCTTTAATGGATAAGGACAACCTGCAATAATATACTGAACTGTAAAAAAAACCTCACCCCAAATAAACTTGCATGAAAAGTTGTCATTTAAATACCTTTGTCTGGAAAAATGAAATTTGATCATAAAAAAACAAAGCAGATGACAATAAAACCGAATCAAACGCGTCACGACAACGGCCATGGTAACCCGATGCACGTGAGTCTGTGCAAATTGAAATGCACACGCGTTCCCCCATTTCTTGCCCTATAAAAACCAACCCAGATCGGATAACATTCATTCGTGATTGAATTGCTACTACATGCCAAGATTGACAAGAAATCACCGACACCAAGCCCTTGCAAGCTGGACAAACCTCCCAGCAAGTAGCCAATGCATTTCAAGTCCACGTAAGGACCATCTACAGGCTCCAGCAACGGTACCACACCACCAACACCAGAGATGACTGACCACGGAGTGGAAGACCAAGGGTTACCACCCGACGTCAGGATCGTCAGATTGTGCGACAGAATCTTCAAGATCGCTTTGTCACTGCTGTTGAAACTGCTAGACAGACCTATGGGACACATCAGCGACACATCAGTTCGGACACCGTGCATCGACGATTGACGAGCAGACACCTCCACTGTCACAGGTCACACCGAGGAGCAATTCTGACACCAATCATCGCCGGAACCGACTTCAGTGGGCAACACAGCACTAGCTTTGGCGCAACCAGCAATGGGGAAGAGTCCTCTTCTCAGACAAGAGCCGCTACTGTATCTAAACAGTAGATGGCAGAGTGAGAGTCTGGCGACGCCGTGGGGAACGTTATTCGGATGCTTGTGTTGTTGAAAGAGACTCGTGTGGTGGTCCGAGCATCATGGTGTGGGGTGGAATTGATCTTGCACAGAGGGTCGGCCCTGTGTTCTTCCTGAACATCGGTCCTGGGAGAGGCACTGGTGTCACAGCAGCACGGTACATTGATCAAATCTTGAGAACACACGCCATACCTCATTTGGCAGGTCGCCGCAACCACGAGTTTCAGCATGATAACGCCCGTGCCCACACTGCGAGAGCCACAAGAGACTTCCTCCAACAGAATGGCATCAGAGCCATGCAGTGGCCTGCCCTCAGTGCCGATTTAAATCCCACTGAGCACCTGTTGGACGAGATTTAAAAGGCTGAATGACATCCGACCAAGGCCGACAACTGCAGCTGAACTGCATCAGGCGTTCCTCAGAGTGTGGGCTCAAGTGCCTATGGCCTTCATCAACCGCCTCATCCATTCCATGTATCATCAATGCACATGGCGGACACACGAGATACTGACTTGTGATGCCATTATCGCAGAGAGTAGTGTTGTGTTTCACTTTAATAACATTTGACACTTTAATTCCAACCTTGATAATCAGTTTTGCCAAGTGTCAATGTTTTAATATGTCTTAAAGTATATTTACAGAAATATCCAACAGAAATGGGATCGAAATACATAAGAAAAAATGAAATCAAAAATATTTTTTGAAGGATGTCAATGAAACAAACCACAACGCAGAATTACCAAGACAGTACATATGTGGAAACGATAATATCCAGTTTGGGCATGAACCATTTATATACAGACACTACCTAAGTGCAAATACATTTCATCAATGATCTGATGAAAGAGAACTTACATTCTTCATTTTTAAAGACATTACAGGGAAGTATACATTATAATAATGTTTTAGAATACGCACATCTCATTAAATCCATAACAAACATATATGGATTCTAAATCTGTATCTTTAGACACGAAAATTGAACAACCGTTTTTTCCATGTAATTTCAAAACTCTATATAACGAATAAAAGGAATGCAGACTAGGATATACCACGTTATCAAACGAAGACGCTTGAAAAGAAAAAAAATACGGATCCGGAATCAATTAAAATGGGAAAATCATATTAACACAGTAATATCGGAAGACATTTGGAGGACTCACAATTATTTACCATTTAGAACAACAAACAACACAAAGTTAACATGGTTCCAATACCGTATTATTCATAGAATTATGACAACAAATAAAGATTTGTACAAGTATAAATGAAACTGAAAATATCCTCCATTTGCAATTTGAATACACACAAAACTGTTGTGGTAGTCTCTGTTGAATGGATAGAGAATAGAACTGGTACTATACTGAATATAGATAAGAATTAGGTTATATTTGGATTTATAGAAAAAACGTAATGACGTCTTGAATTTAATCTATATTGCAACAAAGGAATATATCTTCTTTAAAAATTCTCTAATTCTCTCCCTAATATTACCGAACTAAACAAATATCTCTTAAGCTAATATCATACGCAAAAATATGTCTCATTCCCGAAATGTGAACACGATACATTTATGACCTACTGGTCGCCATGCCACGATCTTTTTGCATTTCCATACTGCATTGACAAATTTACCTATCCTACATGTATTTAATATGTATTACAATAGATTAACTTTATACACTCATATTGGCCAACATAATGTAATGTATTATTGAAATATCACGTCATTTCTGTACCCAAGACCAAAATAATATAGTGATTAAAAAATAGTTATACAAACTCCCCATAGAAATTTTCAGATTTTAATTCCTTTGGGTATACTTAATCCCACGTGATTGAATGAACTTAAATCTGAAAAATTGAAGTCGCGTAAAACAGACAAATAACAGCTAATTGGTTAACTATATTCACACAAACTTTACTGAGCATACACTTTTAAAAATAAAAACAAATCATCGGGAGGGGTGGCATCCAAATCTGTACTAAATCGCTGTGGTGAGGTGAAGTTGGGTTAAACGTCGAGTTCAAGATTATTCCACTTATACAGCGTCGCGCACGCACGTGTGTGTGGCTGCGTGTACTAGTCCGGACTAATGCCGATTTTATAGTGCTGGTCCACTGAGGTACTGTGCCTCAGTTTGACATGAATACCCTACTCAGACACAGTACACTGACTTGGAGCCGACCAGTCCTTGTTTTAGCCCCTTAATGCCCAGCGCCAGTCAGGGTAACAACAAGTACTATCTTTTAACGTCTTTTGGTGAACTACTATCACAATACGGTTTCACCTCTATTTGGACGGTGAATGTAAATTTGAGATGTGAAGGAAAAACGTATCCATTGTGTATTTTTGTGTCGCAAATCATTATCAATGTATCATAAGCATCTTCCGGTCCCTTACCGGATGCCAGTAATAAAACGTCAGTTTCATGTTACTTTCATTATTCGCAATATGTAGTTCAAAGGTGACAATTTACACTTGCAACATATATGCAATGTTGTTATGTGTGTACGATTAATATAAATATCACGAACAGTATGTGTATAGCAGCTTTAAGTATCACATATCAGAAAATGAAATCTTTTGTCACGCATCGCTGCACTGCCGCGCCGGTACCTTCAGGTCACGCCCTTATATCTGTTTGTTTTGGACGCCGATTACGGAGCTTGTGATTTCAACACTTTCACTTGGACATTAAAATACTTTCGACGAATATAATCAATTTCTCTCTCTCTCGGAAATTGACTAAATGTATCTCGGAGAAATTGATATTTGCAACAAATTCGCAATCCTCTTTTTTTCAGTTTACATGTCCTTTAACTACAAAACTGATGTTGCTACTAATCACTCGTTTCCACCTACTTTGAAATGGAGGTCCACAGATTCCCCCGATTCCTTGCATCAGCAAAATACCTCCCAGGATTCTGTGCAGACTGTCCAGGTCGAACACAATAATCAACATGGGGAACCAGACTGCAGTTGTTCCTCCTATGAAGACATATCCCCCTGAACTTCAACTTGTATGTTTGGACATCATAGTATAATCTATCTACATCTATATTAACAACTACAGGTAATTGTGATAATGCACTGGCAATGACTCATGTGTAAGGGTTTCCATTTGATATACTCACCACCACACGACACGCGAATACCATACATGTTGGTTTATACACGAAGAATTATTCATATTTAATTGATTTTAAATTGGTTCCATGCACAAACATACTTGCATGTTGTGTAAAGCGACGCTCATGAACGCACATGTGACGTCATAGATCCATGACTCGAGATGCACCATACGCCTCGTGCGGGATTAGAGTGTAAAGTTCGGACATCACGAGCAGCATATTGGGATAATAATATAGACACTCTGTGGTGACACCTGACTGGTTATTAGTTCTGATATTAATTGGTTCACATTGGAAACATCTTTTCTTTACTTACATATTTCTCCATATGTTTCTATGGTTCGCGGTGCTTTTTTTGTTGTGAGTATATAAAATAGACAACAAGTACATGGAATATATTTATGACATGGTAACATTTAACTCACCGTATAGTATGCCATAAAATACTCCTGTAACATAGAAGTCAGCCATGTTTTGGCATAAGACCACTGCAAAGCATGTTAACCCACAAACAGTTGTAAGGATCAAATGTAAATAAAGAGCAGAGTTTGGACTCAGCATGCATAAAACACTGAACAATGCTCTGCCCAAAATATTCCCCGCTCCAATAAGGGACACAACCAGTGAAACTTCTGAAGGCGTCTGACCAGGAAGTGACGTCATCACATAATCCGGGATGAATGTGGGGAAAGAGATCACACAAAGTCCTGTGATAAGGTAGGAAACAGAGAAACTTATGAAGCCCGGTACTTTGATAACGTGTAGATGTTCCCTTAATTTCCTCCATGGAGATAGGGCGTGTAGCTTATAACTGTCACTCGTAGTGGAACCTGCAATTTGATAGGAATCCCCGCATGTATTAATTCTGGCCCTGAGTGCATGGCAATGATGACAGTGATATTTCCTGTGGACACTATACCTTAATAAGTTATAATTTCGAAATGGTTCATAATTCCAGACGGTGGAGGTCAATTCCTCTTTGCACTCCATTTGTTTATCTCTGATAAACAAATGTCCCATGTTACAAAATAGTACTATTCGGGTACATGGAATAACATACCCTTTACACTGGTGGGTTTAGGAGAGGCTTTGATGAACAGTGCGCCTGGCAGCATGTGTAAAAGCAGTGCACCGTTGATCAGTAATGCACCTCGCCATCCAAATGTCTCCACTAGACCGGACATGAGGGGAGGCCATGTCAGACTTCCAACTGCCCCCCCAATACTTGCTGTACCTATGGCAAGTGGTCTCCATCTTGAAAATTGCCGGCTGACGTGGACGGTGCTGGCGACGAAAGTGAGAGATGAACCTACACCTAGTAATAGAACACAAGCTTTGCATAATGAGGAAGTTATATAAAGTAGGTATGTGAACAGAATGTATTTCATAAGTGAATAATTTACACGATACATGGCTCTTTCTTTGGACGAGGGGTTTGTCACATGGCCGCAACACATCTTGACGTCGATACGTTTTTGCACGAGACTGTATTCTTTAAATGTCTCGCTACGACAGATCCTAGTGAAGAAGACGAAGATATAGGTATCCAAACTATCGACCGGATTCTTGTGAAGACGGACAGTGACTGACTACGGCAATCTATGAATGTACCTCAAAATGAATTCCGACACATCGTAACTGGGACTGACTGACTGTCTGAGGTAGTTAACACACCTTACCAATCTTATGATGATTTTATTTGAACCTATTTGTTATAACCAAAGTACAAAGTACGGTAGAGCAATTTGAGAATACATTCAGATCACTTCCCCTTTTGAGGAACTTTTTCATTCCGCCATACAACTATATTTTGTACGACTGTCAGTGTATCCTACCAGGCATACATGTTGAAATAAAATAAATGAAATATAAAAATATACTTTTACTCTGTGTGAGTTCAGTGGAGTATGAGGGTCAAACAATCTATGCATGTCGTCGCAGGCTCCGATGTTCATTCAATTTGTCAAATTTTAAATGATTATTAAAATACATGGATTTCTTAATATGACTCACAATCTTACACTATAAACTGTACATTATCTAAAAATTGTTTTGTTAGCCAAGATATCCAACTGACCTGACAAGAGTCCGAGTGTTAGATAGAGAACGTGAATACTACTTGACCGACCGCTGACTATCATTGAGAAGGCAAGTATAAGGCCTCCCAGCAGGTGTGTGTATCGACTGCCCACTCTCTCCATTAACACAGACGCCAGCAATGCTAAAACACACATGAATTAATGATAACATTTACATTTGTGAATAGCCCACTAACGTATACTTCCTCAGAGGTGTTAGTTTTCAAACTAGAAAGGTATTTTAATTACAAAGCAGTAACCAGCCCCAATCCACCATTCCTTTCAAAATTTCAACCAGAAATATGTATCATCGTCCATTTTGCCTTTACCTAATCAGGTCACAACCGACCTCATCAATATCTCATGTTCATTTTTTATCTTTAATGTTGTCACATGCAGTACAACAAATTATAAACACTTTTGTTTAGTGACAGCACTTCTGCGTTAAGTAATACATGCCCATTGAAGTTAAAGTTTACTGTTCTATGCCTCTATCTAATCTCACAAAGTTGTAAGTACTTCCGGTTCATAACCTCACTTCAGGTTTGGGAAAGTTCTGTACCTTGGTCAACCATACAACAAATCCATAAACACCAATTCCGGTTTGGAAAAATATGCCAAATGCAGTAGAACTTTACAACAGAAAGTCCAATGACTCTTGCTTCCGTATTAACCATGCTACAAGCAATTTAGGTTTAAGGGTTGAGTTACTTACGCTACTGTTTCCTTCCGTTTTGGAATAACATGCGACAAATACAGTAGAGTGTTATAAGTTATAACAGAAAGTGTCATGCCTCTTTTAATCTGAATTATAAAGACAAAAGCAGTTTCGGTTTAATATAATAAACTCTCAGGTTCAAGATCTGCCTTCGACTTGGTCGGGGTCTGGACAGAAACACACGATGGTTAGCTGTGTCTCTTGTTCACTGATGGCGACGGTACTAAGGTGTGTGTGTTTGCCACAGATGACCATCTCATCCCTCTTCAGACAGCCAGTCACGTCTTCACGGGCTGAACTTTTAGTGCCTGTCCAGTGTTGTGGAGTCAAATGGGTATTCTTCATGCAAGAACTGGTTCCACAACACATCCACATGTGTTTGCTCTCTCTCCTCCCTCAACCCCCCCTCCTCGTGACTGCAAAATGACACCATACCAGCGTCTCTTTGCTCATCTGAGGACCCACGTACAATGAATCCTCTTCTCCAAGCCATTTTCCAATTTGACTTTATTACACAATTTGGGGATGTAACGATATTTCATGAAAATATGCAATATATATTTTTAATAATAACATTTTGTAGTCTCCTACCTAGTTTGAGTGAGTCTATTGCACTGGCCTTGAAAATTATGCACCAAACAGCCAATACATTTCAGGGTATCAGTTTCCGGTTGCAACATCGTTGATAGCTTTCTCTTTATGTCTCATTAGGGCCTTTGATGGTAGTCTAGTGGTTAAAGCGTTACCTCGTCACACCAATGACCGGGTTCGATTCTCCATTTTTGGTGCTCCCCACGGTAATATTGTTGGAATATTGCAAACAAAGCATCGTAAAGCTATACTAACTCACTCACTCACTTGATGACTATTGATCAAACTGCAACAGCTTATGACATTTACTATCCTAAAGGCGACAACCTTTACAGATATAATAGCCTTTCCTTTATTACCCCCAAAAGCTTATTGACAATGTTCTAAACTTCAAACTGTCTTACATTTAAAAGATTAATTTAACCAAAGTTTGACCACGTGCAGTATTCTTTGATAATTATATTTACACATGTGTACTTAAGTATCATGTTGTATTAATAAAATGTCAAAAAGAACTAAGAATAATAGTGTTCTATTCCGGCTAACAATAGGTTACACATAGTTCACTATCAAGTCATCATTGTTTCACTACATTTACATAGGGAAGAATGGAGACACAGCATATCACAGTGTAAAAACAAGTACATGGGGATTTTGTTGCTTAGCATCAACATGGCTTTCAAGTCTATTTCCTGTCAGGTACTAGAATTATTATGTAAGCTTGAGGTGAAATGGTGTTTAAGGCATATATTGTGTTAAAATCAAACAATCAATTAGTTAAGTAAACAAGGAGACTTACAAGTTATCCCAAAGAAGCCACTCATGAGGGAACCGATCCAGGAGAGCTGGTACTCGGTCACAGCCAGGGGTTCCTTCAGGTAGATGTAGAGCACACCATAGGATGATACGAGTGCATTGTTAAACATAATTGATATGAAACAGCTGATAACAGAGACAGTCTGCCAGTATCGATCATAACCTTCCTTCGCCTGCTCTTCTGCTTCGTTCACAGGCAGAGGATTGACCTGTTCTTGATTACCATTGTGAGATGTGTAATCGTTGACGTTATCTGTAATATCAGTGCTGGTGACTCTGTCCTCATCCACGTTGTAGTGGCTGACGTACAGCGTGATGGCAGGCAATGTTGTCGATCTCCACACAACATCATTGTCAACTGCAATGCAATTATTACGATCGACGTTGTCAACAGGGTTCGTTTGTTTGACAACATTGTCGTCTTCTGCTAGGACACAGGAAGCCGACGCACTACTGAGTACTGATGGCAACATGATATGAGTAAAAAAATGATAGTTCTTATACAAGGCTGACACAAATCTAATATGTGTGTAACTAAGTCTTGGCTATATAACACCAGGCATGCCCTTGTTTCAACCTGTTGCCCTTCAGGCATGGTTATGCATTCGTCCACAGCAGCACGTGTGTCATGATGTAACACTAGACTCGATATATCTACCAAGAACTGGTTTCATTGGTGGTTTTTCATTTCCAGTTGTGACTATCAGTAATGGCTGTGGCATAAATAATTGGAAACTGTTATTTATAATGTATTTTTAGCAACACTGTGAGTTGCTTTAATTATATGAGATGCAATATCTGTGAGTGTGTTGACTACAGAGAATGTTCACGCGTCATTATCTGGAGACAAAAGATGCTAGACAAACACAATATTAAACAAACAAAAATACCAGTTAATTAAGGGAGGGGGTATTAAACTCAGGGGCAAAACATACTATACCTCTCAGTTTGTTTTATCTACCTTATTTTCTACGGAAAATATCTTAAGTTAGCGATTTTGTATCCAAACAATGAATTGTACTGGCGGCAGCAGCCAAAGAATACTGTTATTTATAATGCATTTTTAGCAACACTCTCAATATATGAGATATATTGTAAATATATGAGATGCAATATCTGTGAGTGTGTAGAATTCAGAGAATTTTTAACCGTCATCATCTCAGAAACGACAAAAGATGCACAACTCACACTATTTTCAGAACTCAGAATAATACTAGTCAGTCGGAGAGGTATCAAACTCAGGGCCAAAACAAACTATACCTCTCAGTTATGTTTAGCGTATTTTCCACGGAAAATATCTTAAGTTAGTGATATTGTATCCAACAGTGAACTCTACTGACGCTTAGACAGCACTCAAAGAATACTTTTACATACTCTTGTTTTATAATATGATTGATTTCAAACATTTAGAAAGTAAAATAGCCGCGTTGTACCCAATTGATGAATCTTATCTTTGAAAATCATTGAAGTTGCTTTTTGCCGCACAACATTTCATAGGGGTTTTGCCAATTCAGTTCTTATCCGAGGGTTCATTCAACCAATTTATATGTACACAAAATTACCCTGCCACTGAGTACTTTTTTACAGACTGTTGCAGGATGTGAGTGATTGTTAATTAAGGATTGTTTTACGGGTTTTTTTATCATTTATTGAAGGATAACAGTCACAAATGGAATGAAATCGCAAAGCATACATGTAGCTGATCGATAATACATTTGTGATTGTTAACCTTTCATAAATGCACAAAAAATGTTAAAAAAATCTTATAATGTACAATATACCTTATTTTGTCAATACTCATTTTATTATGTCTCTTTGACGGAACGTTTGGAACTATTTTTTGTGTAACGTCATATAGTCTTCACCTTCGGTGTCGTATTCAAATTTGAACGAGGAACTGGGCTAGCAAGTCACACAAAGTATTTTCGCGACCGATATTGAAGGAAAAGTGGCAGTTTTGGAAGTCTGAATTTGCAAACATTCCATGGGAAACAGAGGGGGAAGTGCTTGAAGTAATATTTAATTCGTCAACCTGGATATTATCTTGTGGAACAATGAAAGAGCAAGCAGGGCAGATGTGTTTGCAGAAGCATCAGCTGTGCTGATGGTGCTAGTGTTTTTGTTTTTGTTGCGCATCTAAGCTGCCACTTATGTATGTGACTTTCACTGTATATATTATAAAATATACTGAAGCGCAACACTTTGTTCTAATTGTTCGATGCATGTTGTTGCAGAAATGCACTTGCAGTCTCTGCTGTGTACATACAACATTTCACTTTCATTATCAAAATATTATGCATGCGATACACCTAAATCAAAGTATCACCGATTCCATCAGGCAAGAACTAAACATCTTTGCATTGAGGAGGATAAAAATATAAAACAATTTTTCACAACTGTGAAACATTATCTTGGGCCACAATAATGAGTAACACTCAGTTAATTACATTTTTAATGTACTGTAGACATACTGACAGGATTGTTGGTACACGTTTTGACAATAAGCGGCATTTTCCTTTCATTATCAATATCTCATGCATGCAATAAACATATATCAAGACCCGTGAAGATCCGGGGTAGAATAGGCGTTCAGTAACTCATGCTTGCTTTAAAAAGCGACTATGCTTGTCGTAAGAGGCAACTAACGGGATCGGGTGGTCAGGCTCGCTGACTTGGTTGATTCATGTCATCGTATCCCAGTTGTGTTAATCTATGCTCCTGATGTCAATCACTGGATTATCTGGTCCAGACCGCCGTCATTTAGCTGGAATATTGCTTAGTGCGGCAGTAAACAACAAAGAAACACACCAGTATCAAAGTATCACGGATTCCACCAAACAAGAACTAAGCATTTCTGTCGTCTTCATTATTTCCGCCTTTACGACTTTTCAGGTCCAATATTGAATGGGTAATAGTGTGGATATAAAATTTCTAATATTTCGTTTTTGACAGATCGTAGGTGTGTGGGGAACGTTTACTACTCAAATATTGCAAAGAATACCACTTCAAAAGGTTATGTAACACATTGTGTGCATTGTAAAATAGCCAAAGATGATAATGCTTGAATACATTTGTTATGAATAAAAGTCCGATATTTCACAATGCCAAGAAACAACATGTGACCAATAATTAGTCAGATCACCCATCAAAATGAGAGTAACTGTTCAAAACTGAAACGTCAAAAAATCGAAAACAAATTCATTATCCAAAAGATACCAACACTCAGTAGCACATATGTGTTCCATGTGATGCGATTACAGCCAAGAACCGTAGTCTCACGCTCCTAGTAAGGATGGTTGTGAAGAAAAGTAAGAGCAGTGCCGAGTTCTTGTAGAATTGCCGGAAGGACAGGGCGTCGTGAGATGGCGATCTAAAGCTCTTGCCACATGCGTTCAATTGGGTTGAGGTCTGGTGAGGTAGGCATCAACGACCTTGACACGATGAGGTAGTGCGTACTCGTCACTGAGGATGAATTCCGGTCTGATTGCTCCAGCATGCCGTCAACCATATCATGATTGAGCCTCCTCGATAGCGGTCATGTTTGGTTACGTTGGAATCCTGAAATATTTCTCTTTTTCTACACAACACTTGGGAACGACGATCTGTGACGTGTAGAGAATATCTCGATTCATCAGTGAAAGTACTGGTCAGTCCAACTGACTTGATCGTCAGCCCAATCCAAATGTGCCTGTTAGAACAACAATCTGTGACGTCTAGACAGTATCTCGTCACTCCAACTGACCTGATCTTCAGCCCAATCCCAACAATCAGGAGAAGCTCCAATATGTGCTGCAAAGCTGTCGACCACCTGGATGTCACTGTCACTGTGGATCCAAACGTCTGGTATCGATTCCATTCCCTGCTGACCATACTTTGACTGACACCAAAGACTTTTGCAAAGTGACGTTTTTGTTGACCTAGTTTCAAGCATGTTTATGCATTCAGTTGTTGCAATCCTCAGTATCAAATATTGTTCTTCTTTTTGAAAATGGTATGCAATGATTCTGTCACGATACATCCAAACACAACTTTTAAAGAAACCTCAGGCACATCATGCCCATAATTGTATGCCTCTGTTCATTGATCTTGAAATCCTAAAAGGTTTCAATCTTTATTTGTTAGATGATGTTTTAATATCGTTTTAATAGGCGAAAAAACGGCACTAAATCTGTAATTGATGCCCTCAAATTGACAGTAGAACAAATAGATTTATGGCCAAGGTCATATGTTAACTACAGTGCTTTGCATATCCAGTTGTTGAATTCTTTCCTACATCTTCTGTTAGCCTCCTGGTCGGGTTATCACTTCTAATTGTAGACACAAAACAAAATTAGGAATGAAGTTTAATAGAAATAAGGGGCAAAAACCTCCATGAGCTTATTCAACTCCTGCAAACTTTCCCCCCTTCAAAACCTGCCTTATACCATTTAAACCAACTCTTAAAGTATATATTATACCCATCCCTCCAACTTAACTCAAGTAGTGAAATGTCGTCAAACAAGACCTGTTCAATTCCTACTCTATTTCTCTCCCATCCATAACTATCCGTCTAACATTACATTGATCCAATTAGCAAAACAATAGAGAAAAAGATAATAATGGCCGAAACGCATCCCGTCATCTCAGCCCTCTCAAACATTACTGGCACCTAGCCGAACATGCAAGGAACATGCCACCATCTCTGACAAAAGAAATCTGACCGGCTATTTGGAAAAGTAATGTTGATGAGTTCCGCAAAATTAATACTGATACAGGTTACCTTTAGAGCTTTCAACATTCTACATGTTTGGCGTCCGAGGCTGCGCACACTATAAGGTAAGTTCTGGCCTCGAGATGCATGTGTCATGTTATGGCTTGAATTATTATATCGTTATAATATAGCTTCATTTACATTCCAAAATGCCAAATCCTGCCTGATTCCGAGCTCTGGCAGATTGTAAACACAAACCCCTTTGTGTGGAAAAAAAGATAGCATTTTTATTCCAGATAAACCATCAGCCCAGTAAATGTACGGGTGGTCCAGTCATCAAACGAGAGTTGCGTCCAAAATGCGTTCTATGATTGTATGCTCGTGGTTTCGAATCCGATGTTTACCCCGATAATGATATTTTAAGCCAGCACCATCTTTCTTTTGCCAACACCATGCCCTTAATTTTTTGACTTCATTAAAATATCAAAAGAGCTTTACTCCTACTTCAACAAACTCACTTGGACATAATTAAAACACTGTTAAAACCTGTGTAAACATAACTTATTCTGAATAGTACACTTGCTGCAAATAGTTATAATGCAGTTGTATTCAACTAAAATGTAATGACAAGCGGTAGAAATCACATGATGTGTTATATTTAATTGAATGGTAATGAGATGGAAACATGATCAGCTGCGGACTTCAGGTAAAGTTATTTGTGGATCCGAGGTCTGCACCTTTGTTGGTTATTCCTGTCACTTTGATATCACAAGCCTTCCATAGACTTTGTCGTGACACAAGCTGTTTCTTTAACAGGAAAGGGAGAATGGTCAGGATGCTACAGATGAAGAAGGCTCCAGTGGTATAAAAGATCAAATCTTTCCGTGTCATCACATCTGCCAGATAACCTGAGAGAGGGAAGCAATGTTATTACGATACGAGAATGTAACGGTAGAGGCATGCAATATCGGGCGATTACGATGAAATATAAGTTACAGTAGAACATATATATGAAAGTCTGTAAACTGTCAGGACGCATTCAATGGATAAATAATCCAAGTAGGGTTAGTTACTGCATACCTTGACGAAAACTTTGAAATGCAATTAGAAATAGCATCGCTTTATCCATCAGACTCAGAGTCTGATCAATAAAAGGCCACAACAACAAGTTGATATGTGTAGGTGGCAGTACTTGTTTGTGGTCAAACTTGACAGATATAGAGATTTACTTGGTAAACTAATCTGAACATCTAATCTAATCTAAACAATAATACGTTAATTCATGTTTCTGAAACATGCACCCTAATATATGCAATAGAAATAACAAAAGACATAAGTTCACAAACGGACTGTTCTCTTGCGAAATGATACAATTATAGATACAGATTTAATTTGAGATTATCATCATCAGTCTTTATAAGTATCAGAATTTTTTCACAAGAATGCCTGATTTCAAATATTGGGGTAAATATTTCCTTCTTATGTTATTGTATTCCGGGCAAATCATTAACACATGATATTCATCTTCTGTACCATGGTTGCAGTAAAAGCATGTAGTATTTTCTGTATCTAATTTCTTTGATAAATCATAACATCGTTTAGAGTATCTTGTAGAAGGCAGATTTACAACTTTTATCCAGTAAAATATAACCCTGAGCGGGCAACAAACCATAGAGGAAAGCGACGATATACTGCCAATATAACTTTGTTCAAGACTTGTAACTAATATTTAATATAAACTTACAGAATTTAGTATGAACTTTTTGTATAGAATAATGAGAATTCATACCCGAGTGTTCCGAACCATATGATAGGATTGGCTAAATTTTCCCATTTAATTATTGAATCAAGATGCAAATCATTATATATGTCTATATAAATCGCTTAATAACATGCAAGTCTTTCCCCGCTTGCATAGCTTGTGTCTCATATGCCATTGTAAAATATTTCTGCATGAAAAGATAATATATAAATATTTTTAGTATGAGATTACCTTTATGGCGTTTCCATTGATTGTCCATTTCTCAGTTTTTAATATTTTGAATACTACTGCTTTCGTCTTTCTTACATTAATAGACAAACCCCATTTGAAGCAAAATTCACTTAGGACATCAATTTTCTTCTGTAATAATACAACAGTCAGCAAAGATAGCAACATTATCGTCAAACAACAGCATTGATAAATCATAACTCGTGTCGTCAAGATTCCCCTACTTTCGTTCCAAATTAATTTCCTTTAACTAATGCTTCAATATGCAATCGGAACAGAAGAGTTGATAATATGCAGCAAAAACGGAAATAATCCACCACCGAGGGCTGCGCAGTTTCAACGATCACGACGGCGTACAGTCTGCCAGGTGATTCACTGGGGTCTTCCTTCTTGTCCAGCACCTATTGCTGTAGGTACAACTTCACCCGAGCAGTGGATGGTCCGACAAGTTATTCCTCATATATGTAACTGGGCTACGCAAATAAACGCAGTGGCCGAAAGATCGCATTCAAAGGTGGGAGAGATTTGACCATGGTATCAGGAGAATAGATACAGATGATCGACGTGAGGATTGTCAGACAATTAATTTGCAGGAAATACCAAACTTAACCCACCCGTTTGTAAAATAGACTTGTCCGACATTTACGAGGTTCGATTTTATTCAGGGAGTCATCATTACTAATATTTGGGCAAATATTTGTAAAGCTTTTGTACGCCCAAGAAGACGAAGGATCGAGACCTAGACCATGGCCATGAAAGGTAGAAGAGACATCTTTTGGTTTCACTTCTTGTTGGATGTGAATGTAAATTTCACACTTTCAACATATATGCAATGATGTTATTTTTGTAGGATTAACAGAAATAGCACATACAGCCTATGTATAGCGGCTATAAGAATCACATATCAGGGAATGAAGGTTTCGTCACGCATCGCTGCACCTCACCTTTAGGTCACGCTCTCAAATATGTTTGTTTTGGAAGCCGATTACAGCATGTGATTTCAACACTTCACTTGGACATTTAAATACTTTTTACAAATATCATCAATTTCTCTCTCTCGGAAATTGACTAAATGTATCTCGGGGAATTTGATATGTGCTACAAAATCAAAATCGGTTTTTTCAGTTTGCATGTCCTTTAACTACAAAACAGCTTTCGTTTGTCGCTACTAATCAGTCGTTTACACCTACTTTGAAATGGCGGTCCACAGATTGTCCCGATTCCTTGCATCAGCAATAAACCTCCAAGGATTCTGTGCAGACTGTCCAGGTCGAACATAATAATCAACATGGGACACCAGACTGCTGATGTTCCTCCTATGAAGACATATATGTTGGTTAATACATGAAGAATTATTCATATTTAAGTGATATTGGATTGGTTTCATGCAAAAACATACTGGTATGTTGTGTAAAGCGACGCTCATGAACGCAGCACATGTGACGTCATAGATCCATGACTCGAGATGCACCATACGTCTCGATTGTAAAGATTGGACATCACAGGCAGCAAATTGTGATAAGAATAAAGCCACTCTGTGGTGACACATGACTGGTTATTAGTTCTGATGTTAATTTGAACACATTGGAAACATCTCTTCTTAACTTACATATTTCTTCATATATTTCTATGGTTTCTATGGTTCGCGTTTCAGACAACAAGAACATGGAATATATGTATTACATGGTAACATTAAACTCACCGTATAGTATGCCATAAAATACTCCTGTAACATAGAAGTCAGCCATGTTTTGACATAAGACCACTGCAAAGCATGTTAACCCACAAACAGTTGTAAGGATCAAATGTAAATAAAGAGCAGAGTTTGGACTCAGCATGCATAAAACACTGAACAATGCTCTGCCCAAAATATTCCCCGCTCCAATAAAGGACACAACCAGTGAAACTTCTGAAGGTGTCTGACCAGGAAGTGACGTCATCACATAATCCGGGATGAATGTGGGGAAGGACACTACGCCAAGTCCTGTGATAACGTAGGAAACAGAGAAGCTTATGAAGCCCGGCACTTTGATAACGTGTAGATGTTCCCTGAATTTCTGCCATGGAGATAGGGCGTGTAGCTTATAGCTGTCACTCGTAGTGGAACCTGCAACTTGATATGAATCCTAACATTTATAAAACTTTCTAGCCCTGAGTGCATGGCAACGATGACAGTGATATTTCCTGTGGCCATTATACCTTAATAAGTTATAATTTCAAAATGGTTCATAATTCCAGTCTGTGGAGGTCAATTCCTGTTTGAACTCCATTTTCATCTCTGATAAACAAATGTCCATTGTTACAAAATAGTTCTATTTGGGTAATGAAAATGAAGAATAACATACCCTTTACACTGGTGGGTTTAGGAGAGACTTTGATGAACAGTGCACCTGGCAGCATGTGTAAAAACAGTGCACCGTTGATCAGTAATGCACCTCGCCATCCAAATGCCTCCACTAGACCGGACATGAGGGGAGGCCATGTCAGACTTCCAACTGCCCCTCCAATACTTGCTGTACCTATGGCCAGAGGCCTCCATCTTGAAAATTGCCGGCTGACGTGGACAGTGCTGGCCACAAACGTGAGAGATGAACCAACGCCTAGTAATAGAACACAATTAGAAGGTGATATAAATTACGGTTTGTGAAACGAATGTAATCAGAAGTGAATACGACTTTTTCATTGGACGAAAGGTCGGTCACATGACCGCGAAACTGACTTTCATAAGACGAATAAATACATATCCAAACTATCGACTCGATCCGTGTCTAGACTGACTGTGAATGTCCACAGCAATCTATGCATTTAACCTCAAAATCTATTTGACACATCTTTATCATCACCTTTCACTGATCAATGATGACTAACAGACGCCAAAGGTTCATTAACAATGTCGGAAATCACTCCCATCACGATTATCGTTGACGTCATGCACTTCGACCCGCCGTAACTGTGACTGACTTCCTGCATCTTATGCTCCGACGTTTTATACAGTTTGTGAATTATTAAATGATTATTGAAATGTTTTGATACATGGGTTTCTTAATATGACTCACAATATAAACTATGCATTATTTAATAATTGTTTTGTCAGCCAAGATATCCAAGATATCCAACTAACCTGACAAGAGTCCGAGTGTTACGTAGAGAACGTGGATATTACTTGTCAGACTGCTGACTATCACCGAGAAGGCAAGTGTAAGGCCTCCCAGCAGGTGTGTGTGTCGACTTCCCACTCTCTCAATTAACACAGACGCCAGCAAAGCTAAAACACACATAAATTAATGATAACGTTTGCATTAGTAAATACTCCGCAAAGTGATGTTAGTACTGAAACTAGAATGGTAGTTTAATTTCAAAAGAGTAACAAGCCCCAATCAACCATTCCTTTCCAAATTTCTACAAGAAATATAAATAATGAGCCAGTTTGCATTTACCTAATCAGGTCAAAGCCGATCTCACCAATATGTTATTTTCATCTTTGATCCTTAATGTTGTCTCATGCACCACAACAAGTTATAAATACTTTTGTTTAGTGACTGCACTTCTGCATTTGAGGAAAACATATGTCCATTACAGGTGAAGGTTGAAACAGAAAGTTCTATGCCTCTATCTACTCTCACAAAGTTGTAAGTACTTCCGGTCCGTAGCCTCACTTTAGGTTTTGGAAAGTTCTGTACCTTGGTCAAATCCGTTTCGGAGAAATAAGCCAAATGAGGTTTAACATTAAAACTCCAATGACTCTTGTTACCTTATTAACAACGCTATAAGCAATTCGGGTTTAAGAGTTGAGTTACTGACGCTCATGTTTCATCATATCACATACTAACAAAATCAAACATTCAATTATTATGGCTTTTAAGTCTATTTCCTGTCAGGTACTAGAATTATTAGGTAAGCTTGAGGTGGAATGGTGTTTTAGTCATATATTGTGTTAAAATCAAACAATCAATTATATAAGTAAACAAGGAGACTTACAAGTTACCCCAAAGAAGCCACTCATGAGGGAGCCGATCCAGGAGAGCTGGTACTCGGTCACAGCCAGGGGTTCCTTCAGGTAGATGTAGAGCACACCATAGGATGATACGAGTGCATTGTTAAACATAACTGACACGAAACAGCTGATAACAGAGACAGTCTGCCAGTATCGATCATAACCTTCCTTCGCCTGCTCTTCTGCTTCGTTCATAGGCAGAGATTTGACCTGTTGTTGATTACCATTGTGAGATGTGTAATCGTTGACGTTATGAGTAATCTCATTGCTGGTGACTCTGTCCTCATCCACGTTGTAGGAGCTGACGTAGGGCGTGATAGCAGGCAATGTTGTAGGTCTCCATACACCATCATTGCCAACTGCAATGCAATTATTATGCTCGACGTTGTCTACAGGGGTCGTTTGCTTGACAATGTACTCATCTTTATCGTCTTCTGCTAGGACACAGGAAGCCGACGCACAACTGAGTACAGATGTTGCTGGCAACATGATAAGAGTATGAAAATAGTTATTCTTATACAAGGCTGACACAAATCTAATATGTGTGTAACTAAGTCTTGGCTATATAACACCAGGCATGCCCTTGTTTCAACCTGTTGCCCTTCAGGCATGGTTATGCATTCGTCCACAGCAGCACGTGTGTCATGATGTAACACTAGACTCGATATATCTACCAAGAACTGGTTTCATTGGTGGTTTTTTATTTCCAGTTGTGACTATCAGTAAAGACTGTGGCATAAATAATTGGAAACTGTTATTTATAATGTAATGTTAGCAACACTGTGAGTTGCTTTATTTATATGAGATGCAATATCTGTGAGTGTGAAGAATTCAGAGAATGTTGAATCATCTCAGGAACGACAAAAGATGCTCAACTCACACTCTTTTCAGAACTCAGAAAAATACCAGTCAGAGAGGTATCAAACTCAGGGGCAAAACAACACTTTTCCTCTCAGTTAATTTTAGCATATTTTTTTTATTTTCTACAGAAAGTTAGCGAAATTGTATCCAAACAATGAATTGTACTGTAGCTTAACGAGCAGCCAAAGAATACTTTTACATACTCTTATATTATTATATAATTTTAGTTCATACGTTTCAAAATGAAAAACATCGCATAATACACAATTGCTGATGGGTATCTTAAACATCATATCTTTTACAATCAAATTTATGGCACACATTTACAACATTTCATAGGGGTTTTGCAAATTCAGTTCTTATCCCAGGCATTTTGGAACCAATTTGTTTTTACACAAAATTAGAAGGTTAATGAAGGTTTATTTTACGTTTTTTGGGTGCAATTATAGGAGGATAATAGTTACAAATTGTATAAAACCGCAAAGTGTAGCTGATCGACTTTATACCAAATATGTGCCAGTTATCCGTTCATAAATGCAACAAAAAAATCGGCTAAACATTCCTTATAATTTTGAAGTATTGTGAAATAAAGCTAATTTGGTTAGATTTGTTTATAGAGATTACTTGTACCAACAAGCACAACAGAAATGGAGTGCATAAAACAACTTCATCAAAAACTTATTATGTCTATTTGACGGGACGTTTGGAAAAACTGAAGGAAAACTGACAGTTTTGGAAGTTATAATTTGCCAACATTCCATGTGAAACAGAGGGGGAAGTGCTTGAAGTAATATTTAATTTGTGAACCTGGATATTATCTTGTGGAACAATGAAAGAGCAAGCAGAGTCGTGAGATAGCGATCTAAAGCTCGTGCCACATGTGTTGGGTGGGGTTGAGGTCTGGTGACAGGGATGCCATTCCATGTGGACAATGGTCTCCAGGTCTAAATAGGCATCAACGACCTTGACACGATGAGGTAGTGCGTACTCGTCACTGAGGATGAATTCCGGTCTGATTGCTCCAGCATGCCGTCAACCATGATTGAGCCTCCTCGATAGCGGTCATGTTTGGTTACGTTGGAATCCTGAAATATTTCTCTTTGTCTACACAACACTTGGGAACGACGATCTGTGACGTGTAGAGAATATCTCGATTCATCAGTGAAAGTACTGGTCAGTCCAACTGACTTGATCGTCAGCCCAATCCAAATGTGCCTGTTAGTGGTGCCAGATTAGTTGGATGCGAATATATGCCCTCCGTGACCAGAGACCAGCCTTATGGAGACGATTATGCGATTACAGAATGTGGCGAGAGTCATTAAGTGATGACGTCTTGCTGCAATCAGGAGAAACCCCAATATGTGCTGCAACGCTGTCGACCACCTGCATGTCACTGTCACTGTTGATCCAAACGCCTGGTATCGATTCCATTCCATTTTGCAGAGTGACGTTTTTGTTGACCTAGTTTCAAGCATGTTTGTGCATATGCCCCGTTCTTCAGTCGTCAAACGACGTCTTTCACACTGAGGGGGCGTAAATGAATTCAGTTGTTGCAATCCTCAGTATCAAATATTGTTCTTCTTTTTGAAAATGGTATGCAATGATTCTGTCACGATACATCCAAACACAAGTTTTAAAGTAACTTCAGGCACATCATGCCCATAACTGCATGCCTCTGTTCATTGATCATGAAATCCTAAAAGGTTTCAATCTTTATTTGTTAGATGATGTTTTAATATCCTTTTAATAGGCGAAAAACGGCACCAAATCTGTAATTGATACCCTCAAATACGCGCCCATTGACTGAAGAACAAAATAGATTAGGGCCAAGGTCATATGTTTACTACAGTGCTTTAAATTGTGTTCTCATATCCTGTTGCAGTATTCTTTCCTACATCTTCTGTTAGCCTCCAAGTCGGGTTATCACTTCTAATTATAGACACAAAACAAAATTGGGAATGAAGTTTAATTCAAAGTTCATTATGAAACAGAAATAAGGGGCAAAACCTTTATGAACTTGTTAAGAACCTACAAACTTTCCCCCCTTCCATACCAACCTAATACTATTTAAACCAACTCTTAAAGTATATTTCATACCCATCCCTCCATTTTAACTACAGTAATGAAATGTCGTCAAACAAAACCTATTCAATTCATACTCTATTTCTCCCCACCAAATAGCAAAACAACAGAAAAGATGAATGATGATGGCCGAAACGTGGACCATGTGACGAGGAAAACGGACACAACCTGTCCTGTCATCTCAGCCCTCTCAAACATTACTGGCACCTAGTCGAACATGCAAGGAACATGCCGCCATCTCTGACCGTCTATTTGTAAAGGTAATGTTGATGTATTCCGCAAAATTAATACTGAGACATGTTACCTTTAGAGCTTTCAACATTATCCATGCTTCGCGTCCCAAGCTGCGCACACTATAAGGTAAGTTCTGGCCTCGAGATGCATGTCTCACATGAGGGCGTCCATGAATTATTATCGCGTTGTATTATAGCTTCATTTACATTCCAAAATGCCAAATCCAAATGCCAAATGTGCGTTCCATAATTCTGTGCGTGTGGGTTCGAATCCGATTTTAACCCTGATAAAGATTTTTGGTAAACCAGCACCATCATTCATTTGCCAACATCATAACCCTTGCTTTTTGACTTCATCAAAATATCAAACGAACTTTACTCCTATTTTATCAAACTCATTTGGACATAATTAAAACATTGTTATAAACTGCGTACTCATTCTGAATAGTACACTTGCTGCAAATAGTTATAATGGAGTTGTATTCAACTAAAATGTAATGACAAGCGGTAGAAATCACATGATGTGTTTTATTTAATTGAATGGTAATGAGATGGAAACATGATCAGCTGCGGACATCAAGTAAAGTTATTTGTGGATTCAAGGTCCGCACCTTTGTTGGTTATTCCTGTCACTTTTCTTCCTTAGACTTTGTCGTGACACAAGTTGTTTCTTTAACAGGAAAGGAAGAATGGTAAGGATGCTACAGATGAAGAAGGCTCCAGTGGTATAAAAGATCATATCTTTCCGTGTCATCACATCTGCAAGGTAACTTGAGAGAGGAAAGCAATGATATTACGATTTCACAATGTAACGGGAGAGGCATGCAATATCGGGCGATTAGGGTGAAATATAACGGCAGTTATAGTAGAAAATTTACATAAATGTCCGTAAACTATCAAGACGCATTCAATGGATTAACGATTCAGGTAGGGTTAGTTACAACATACCTTGACAAAAACTTTGAAATGCAATTAGAAATAGCATCACTTTATCCAACAGACTCACAGTCTGTTGCATATAAGGCCACAATAACCAGTTGATGTGTAGGTCATAGTACTTGTTTGTGGTCAAACTTGAGAGATTTACCGGGAAAACTTATCTGAACATCTAATCTAATCTAAACAATAATAGAAACTGACATTTATAGGCAAGTAAAGTCAACGTAGCAACGTTCAACTTTGACTGCTGAAGGGCATACTTCACCTCAATGTTTGACTGAACTTAAGTTTGATAAAATGGATGTAGTGTGAAACAGACGATAAAAAAACGAAAGGCAAGATCGTCATCCAAACGAAACGGACAGACAGTTTTTTCGTATATGTGGCCAAAAGAGCAATAGTACATCATGTTTAAATTTAGGCATAAATATTACAATGAGCGCACCCTAATATATGCAATACAAATAACAAAAGACATAAGTTCACAAACGGACTGTTCTCTTGCGAAATGATACAATTATAGATACAGATTTAATTTGAGATTATCATTATCAGTCTTTATTAGTATCATAAATTTTTCACAAGAATGCCTGATTACAAATATTGGGGTAAATATTTCCTTCTTATGTTACTGTATTCCGGGCAAATCATTAACACATGATATTCATCTTCTGTACCATGGTTGCAGTAAAAGTATGTAGTATTTTCTGTTTCAGGAGTTTTGGAGAATCTGTCAGCTCTGATATTCAAATCATGACAATTACATCTAAAATTTGTTTATACTTGCCGTAAGTTTAATGCTTTTGTGGCTACCAGATATCTCTCTGGCGTGATTTGAAGCTTGAAATCTGAATTGTTAGTTAAGGATTTCCACTTTTTGATATTGTTATACCACTCTTGTTGGTAATTGTCTATACATCTCTGTTTAAGCAGACACAAGAATAGATCTTTATTTCCGACATTTTGGCAACTTCAGACATGGAATAGGGTAGTTTGTACAAATGAACCCAATTAATATCTCCAACATCATCTTGTTTCTTTAATAAATCTTAACATCGTTCAGAGTATCTTGTAGATGGCAGTCTAGTAACTTTTATCCAGTAAAATATAACCCTGAGCAGGCATTAATCCACAGAGGAAAGAGACCACATTTTGCCAATATAACTTTGTTCGATAACTTGTAACTTGTATTTCTAATAAATCGTTAAATAACATGCAGGTTTTGTAGTATGAGATTACCTCTATGGCGTTTCCATTAATCGTCCATTTCTCAGTCCTTAATATCTTCCCGTTGTCTTTGAATACTACTACCTTCGTCTTTCTTACATTAATAGACAAACCCCATTTGAAGCAAAATTCGCTTAGGACCTAAATTTTCTTCTGTAATAATACAACAGTCAGC